TAAGGGATTTGGTGTTGATATAGAATGAAATGTGAATTTCTGAAAAGTATAAACTTGTAAGAGCACTTGCTTTTTTGTATTTTGGTCAAATACCAATCACTATGCGAAATTGCACTGAGGTATCAATTTTCGGCAAACGTGTCGATTTTTTTCCAAGCAAAATTCCACCGAATTCTTATGACTATGCTATTTGTATGTATTAATTAATACATTGTTTCAGAATATCTACAATTGAACTCAAAATACCTGTTATTGCAATACATAGGGGTAATGTGGCAAAGCGAATAGTAGTTGGCAGTGTGTATATACGAAAGTGTAAATGAAGTGGCTACAAAAAATCATACGATACATCTTGTTTTCTATTCATTGATGCTTTCATAGAACGTTCGGTTATTATCAACATAATACTTTAAAGAATCAATTCAATTAAGAGCTGGGGGAATTTTCCATGACGCGTATAAAACGCCTTAATAATAACAACGATTATAAGAGACGATTGTTTCTATTTTCAAATTATTATAACGCAATCGCAAAATGTCCTTATATAGGGATGTATGAGATGATCGTTTTTCTTTTGAATCTTTGTACATATACATTTATTTGAAAAAATGTAGTATTTACTGTGTTCTGTTCAAGACCTTTGTGAATTTGGTGCAAGTCTGCACGCCATTAATTGAATTCATTTGTGTGCAGCCAGTGAGAAAAGGAGTTATGTATGTATTTTTTACGAATTGTTGGGCAACAGCGACTAATCATCGATCGAGTATAGTCATTGCATTGTTGCCGAGTATTTCCCCGTTTCGTTTTTTTTTCTATTATACATACATAGAAATATACTGCGTCTTAAAGTTTAAACTCAAATTTGAATCTTCTCCGATATTTTTAATTTCTATTATGTGATATGTCGTCACTTTTTCACACAGAATTACATAATCAAATACTAACGCTATATAACATCCTGAATTTATTTAATTAATTAATTGTTCTTGCTTCAAAGCTTTTCTGGGAGAATAAAGTCCACAATACCAATTAAAGAACGTTTGGGTTGAATCATCGTTTTTTACTTGCTATCATATTAATTGTGCACAGGTTCACAAAGATAAAATTCACGTCGATTAGAATGTATTTCACATGCATATTCTTAGTATATATGGATTTGGGAAAAGACGGATATGATTTCAGGATGCATTATGAGAATCGATTTTAGATTTTTTTTTCTGGATTGTGTTTGTCACGTGAGAAATCTACATTTAACGCTAAAAACAAAATACATGTATATATAATTTTTTCTTATAAACCTCTGCATTACTTTGTAAAAGCACAACACAATTGACGGACAGACAGACGGAACATGGATTTACCGTGTGTGTTTACTTGAAATAAAGAATTTCCGATCTTTCGCATTTTATGTCACGATCTTCAGCATTTTTTGAATACACAGGTTTCTAAATAGAGAATTTTGCGGTTCAAGATTATCCATATGTGCATATATTAAAACACGCGCATATGCCAACGGATAATTAATTGCATGTAGATTTTTTTGCACTCTATGAATGAATACGTCCGTCTATTTTTAGACATTATTATATGTTTCATTTTCTGGTAATCTGACGACGCGAAATTACATTGAACAAAACAAAAGATTTTTATGTTTACTTAATTCTGTCAATTGGTGAATTAGCCTGTCATAATATCATGGTACATTGACCTATTGACCGAAAAGAAATTTGGCATCATCGTTGATTCTCTCGATCCTCGTTTAACAACGCAATTGAAAAAGAGTTTCAACTAACAAAATTCATAGCTTGTATTTGAATGCTCGAAGGATAAATCACGGCACTGACTTATTGAACGATTAATTGATTGTGATCGAATGCCATAATGTAAAGAATAAGGTTAGTCCAGTGACGGTTGTTTACTGTCCTGTATTACGATCTTCATTAGTTTATATCAAAACAAGAGACGCAGGGGTGAATAGTGATATGATGTCCTAAACCGTTGAAATATTAATTTTTTCCGATCACGATCAAAGATAAAAATTTCCCCGAAAGGTTAAATTACACAAATACGCGGCTTAAAATTTTTTGATCGTTACACCCACAAACCGCAAGAAATCAACTTTACTCTCAATTTCTCGAAATAGGAAAAAACAGGTTTCCAACATTAAGTTATGTGTGTGTGTGTTTTACCTCTCATATTTTACCTCTCGTAATTTACCTCTCGTATGCTTGTTTAAAAGTATTTTCTAACTTGTACAGAATATAATATCATTGTTGAAAGGCAGGTGATGTGATTTGACGAAAAATTACATGTTTTAATCAAGTTGTGGTTGCACATAATATCGATATTAAGAATATTAATACATGTAATAAAAAACGCATTGTTCACTTTATGAAATGCTATTTTTATACAACCATTCACCCATTCATTATTTATTATCTTTTTTGGTAATAGTAATAATACAGTTGGTATTGTGTACAGGTCATCTCTATTATTTATGCATGAGTTGTATTTTCAGATGGCTTGTAGGGTTGCAATGCAATGATATGTGTAAATCAATGATATGTGTAAATGAGAAGTAAGGGGACATGAATTTTTGGTAATTAACGAACAAATTAGGAAGGAAAAATTCATACAAATAAACTATTATTAATAGTTAAATAAAAATAGAAGTATGTATGCATCGTAAATTGGATGTGTGGATCCCTGCGGTCTGGATTCAGTTAATATATTAAATTACACAACACACAAAATATAGAATACGTTTGTTCTCCCGAATTTAGTTAGTCACACACGTCCAGAAACTCAAAAATAAAAATATTTCGTCGAATTACTTTTGTAAAATTTATTGTTATCGCTCGATTTTTGGTCAACATGTGAGAAAAACATGAATCCGTATTCCACAATTAAAATAATGGACCGTTTGTGTCTCACATACGCGTGTTCGTGCACGCACACAGTAACGTGTGGATTTAAGTTGCAGCAAAATCACGGTTTAAAAACAACAGTGATTCGTACTGTTCTGATGTATTGAATATCCATTGACATTGAGGGTCAAAATGGGAAGTCAAAGAGAATTGGTGAGCAAACGCATAAAGAAAAAAAAAACGCGGTGCGTGCGAGCGTGTATCATAATAATATTGCTTATACTCTCACTCGCACGCATAGTCATAGAATAGATTAGAGAGCTGATCGATTAGCACTTTTTTTTAGTGGCTTTAATTTTGATATATATAAAATATGACGATATACACCTATGATGTAATGTACATATAGATCCTATCGGAAAATTAGTTGCTTTATTGACATTTATTTAATTTCGGTCATATCCGCCTTTAACTGGTTCATCGACCAAATATTTTATATTGTTTGCTAGTTTTCTTCTACGTATTCGAATAAACGACTAAACCTAAAAATACATGCAAATAGGTTTCTTTTTTGGTCACAATATTTGGGCGGAACCAATTCGAAGGTGTTTTATGTTATATATATATATGTGTGTGTGTGTGTATTTAAATATATATATATATTTATTTATTTATTTATTTATGCATTTATGCTCTAATCCTACGGACATTTTTCTCTCGTTTCCTGTTCTTCTCATAAAATTATCGCTCGCTTTCCAACGACGAAGACTATCACGTCGACGACAAAAACCTAATTTTTAAAGAACTAAAATCTAAATTTACCACACTAATAATCATCTCGATTCACTGGATACTCCTTTGCACTTTTGGTTAGGAGATCTTTTATTTATACTATATTCTTGTTTAATATATACTGCACAGTCCACCAAAACAATATTATCACCAAACCCTCCAGAAAAAGCAAACAAAACAAAAAATTAACACGACCCATCCATCTCTCTAACACGAACGCTTACGATATATACATACAATTAATTATTCTTTTATTATTATATTATATTATTATTATATTATATTATATTATGAGAAACGACGTGCTTTACTTTTAAATATATCGATATATTTATTTATTTGTAAGCCTCAATAGTCAGTCAAACAAAAAAGACGGACTATTGTATGTATATGAATAATTTACATATATAGACGCATATTTATTACTAATCTGGAAAATAGTCAGCCTTCGATCAAAAAAAATTTATTTAACAGCCTCATTTGTCTTTCGAAAAAGAAGAAAGCTTCAATAAAATCATCGCTACTACTACAAGAATTCGAATTGATCCAAAGCAAATAGCAAAAAGTTAAAAATTAAGTATTAAATCAATTATTCACCCGCAAGAAAAACACGACGAGTTCAAATAAACGACAGGCACCAACTCATTCGAAACCAAATTAAAAATATATATAATAATTCACGGATACAAAGATAATCCACAAACTCATGCTTGAATCACTACTAGGATGCAATCCATTTGAAATGGCAGAGAATTCAGATTTCTCATTTCACCAGAACCTTAATCAACAGCAACAGCAGCAGCAGCAGCAGCAGCAGCATCAGCAGCATCAACAACAACGCTGTCAGCAACTATCTCCATCCCCATCCCCATCCCCATCCCCTCCTCTACGTTACCATCAAGATCTTAATCCTCATAATTTCATTTATGCCATCACTGCTGCGTCAAACGGGATCGATTCTATTTATACCATGGTAAGTAAATTAATTGTTTATATAAATGCGACTCCTTTTTTCTCGTATCGCTATGCTATTTTTTTTTACTTTTTTTGCAACTCTTGACTTAAAAACATGACAAATATTCCCTCTATGTGTAATCAGAACAACTTTCACAAATATGTCGCATCTCAACAACAACAACAACAACCACCACCATATGATCAACTATCGTTGCCTTTACCACCTACTCCGTTACAAAACACACCACCACCACAACTTCCTCGTCTTCAACATGTGTCTGAACTCTATTTGGTACTATTTTTTCTTTCATTGTTTTTTTTTTATCCTGACGCATTTTCTAACAAACCTTTAAACAGAATAATCAACAACAACATTCTCCGGTTATGGTACTTATTTGCAAACTATTTCAATTTCTATTTCTACAAGAATGAATTTTTCTTTCTTAATCCAAATTTTCTATTAAATAGTCACTACCGCAAGAACAAATGCCAACTAATGATAATAACGACAATACCAACAACCTGATAAATACAGAATACAAATTACATCAAATGAGATTGAATAATCAACACCCACTACCACCACCACAATCTTCTATTTGGTCCGCTGAACACGGAACTACGTTAAGTTCACCTCAACTACCACGACAACAACAACAACAACAGCAGCAGCAGCAGCAGCATCATTTAATTGACTCTTCGCAACTATATCACTTTCTACCAGCATCACCGATACAAATCAAATTGGAACCGGTCGATGGATTTATAAAACAAGAGACGCATGACAATGAAAATACAACAAAGCCGATTCTAATCAATCCGAAACAATTCAACAGAATTTTGAAGAGAAGAATTGCAAGAGAAAGATTTGAAAAGGCGCATAATCTTTCCAAACAAAGAAAGGTAGATATCGTTTTTTTATTTGTTCCCATTTACAGATGTCTCAAGCAATTTGGTAATCAGTTAAAAAAGATTTGTCATTGCCAATCACAAAGATCATCACTCATAATTGTCATTAATTTCATCAGCCATATATTCATGAATCTCGGCATTTACACGCAATGCGCCGTCCTCGTGGACCAGGTGGTCGATTTTTGACTGCCGAAAAGACAGCTGAATTGGAAAGACAAGAAAGAATCCGAAAAGAATCATTGGATTCGGGAAATAGCAATGACATTTCCGTTGTTTCCTCCGCGACAAATTCTCCAAATTTAAGCGATGACGTTTATTACACAAACACCAATGTCGCAATCGCTCCGGCGATAGCCACTGCAGCGTCATCGGCTACGCAAAATAACAATCATCTTCACTGGGATAACAATACATTAGTAAACTACGCTGAAAACGATCGAAAAAATCGTTGGACAAATACCCGAACTTTGACAAATACCCGATTTCATCCTTATAATGATGCGTCAAATTTTCACCAGCATAATGGTCATTATGCACCAACATCCATGATAGAAGTCAATAATTCATTAATCTCAGAAGGAGGGAATCGATCGAATTTTGAAGGTGCAATAATGGGTGTGGCTGAATTGAATTCGACGACGGCAGCATCTTCTCATTATAATCCAACTCACATAACGCGCACAACCGGCTTATGGTCGTCCTCTTTAGAAAACCGTCAGACTCACTAGACCAATTATTTCCATTTCTTGGATTAAAGTCTACGCGCAGAGTTAATAGACATTACTTGATTTCTTTGATTTATTGTAAATATCTGTTGTGAACGATTTTATATTTCCGGATGAAATTATTGATGTTGTGTGAGTCTGTATGTACGTTGGCTAATATTTTACTATTTTCTAATTCGAACGTGTGAAAAGTAGCGCACTTTTTTTATATTTACCTTTCTAAGTTCTTGTATAGATAATAAATAGCATACATAAATAATTTTCTTAATAGACATTCATTTTCGGTAATTCGTAGGACTCCTAACGAGCCGGCTCTCGAGCCTAAATTTTATATGTAATTTAATAATATGGGTTTAAACCCTATTAATTAAATTATATGTATGCGAGTCAACGAGCCGAGCTTTTCGGAGACCTAGTAATTCGTTTAGTACTTATAGAATCGTATTTTTGAATTATCCTAATCATCATCATAGACTGTACCAAAACTGCGTGGGTGCACACGTAACAAAAAGCAACACTTCACTTGCTGACTCGTAATTTCTTTCTGACAAAAAACAATTCAATCGTAATTTCTTTCTGACAAAAAACAATTCAATTCAAATAAATTTTTCCGTTTGTTGATATAAATGATACAATGAATGGATTTTTTTTAACAAGGTACATATGCGATCCATCATGTCGTTTATCATGTCAAAATATTCGATTGATGCACGACCGGGAATTTAAACGTTAATCACAAAAAAACAGAGACCAACTTTTTTTAGCAAGTTACAAAAACGTCACCACTGCTTGGGAGACGTACAGAGAAGAGTGATGTCATTTGACGTTAGAACAGCGTCACCACCACCCACTACTTGGAGAAATGTACAACGAAGCGTGCTACCAGGCTTGGTCGTTTTTGTTTTATGATATCATGATAGAAATTTAGGGTAAAGGGCACACGCACGATTCTCGTTTCTTTTATTAATTAGGTTAATACGAGAAGCAAGATTTTGTCATATTTGTGTGTGGGTGATGTATGCGCATACGTATTGTATGTCTTTCAAGATTCTTAAAGACTTTCACAATTGCTTGATTCCTAATCGAGTTTTCTGGCTGATTTTTCTAATTAATATCAGTTGATAACATGACTACTTTTAATGACGAGAGAAGAATATGTGCATTACACGGTACTTTTAATGACGAGAGAAGAATGTGTGCATTACACGGTGAAATGAAACGCCATTTTAATTAGTTGATTAATTTGAATATCATTACCGTATATGACCGAAAATAAGAACACCAAAAATCGGACCCTTCAAAGATCGAAATCGGGGGTTTCTTATTTTCGGGACTCTCACCATTTTAATTTTAACACGGATATGTAATATGAGAGTCAAATTATAAAATCTAATTGCAAAAAATTAAAGGTTTCTTATTTTCGGTACTTTTGATTTTGTGGCTTTTAGATTAAAAAGAGGTGAGTTTCTTATTTTCGGTCATATACGGTAATTATTCATTGCTAATTTGTTTTCTCATACGTATATCATTATGCAAAATCTAAAACAGAAAACTGCTGTGAACAAAAAGGGACTCTTCCATACGACAAGACTTTGGACGATCATAATACCTAAATGCATTGTCAATCAAAGCGAATTGACAATGGGGAAACCGAGTTCCATTGTAATCCTTATTAACCAATTGAAGCAATTTTGTATTCAATTCCGATCACGAAGATCAGTGTTGACTGTGTATAGAAATAATATATATGTATAGATTCCTTTTACTCCGAATGGGATGCTAATATCGATATGGTAGTCATTGAAGAAATCGCATGATAGAGATAACATAAAAGTTAATGCATACTTATGCACACACACATCACATTTAGATGTTTGGCGATACCTTATGATCCAATCAAGTGCACGGACAGATCCAGATTTTCCGTGTGTATCACGCGAAAAGATTACATCAGGTATCCGATATTGATATTTTAAGCAATCAACAGTTTTTCTGAAAGCCGCAAAATTAATTTGTATTTTAAATGTTTACTATAATTATTCCGATCCGTTAGTACGGAAAAATAGTGTTATTGCTACTATTGTTATCGATCGCGTGGCAATTGTGTCCATAAATTTTTTCCACGTTTTTTCGTGTATTCATTCTGTAATGACGGTTAGTATTTTTTTTAGTCAATTGAAAGTCGGCATGTGAGTAAATTATCCGTCTGAAAATGGGGCTCTAGATAGAAGCATGAGACAATGAAATATATTGTTTTGATAAATTATAAATTATAAATTATAATGCGCATGATTTTACATGATTCACAAAACAATGGAGTATCTACCGTACAGCGCTACACAAAGTACTCCCTTTGGGGGAAAATTTGAGTCGTAATTTAACCTCAAGGGTATATTAAGTTATATAGTACAAAGATTTTGACAGAATTGTAACCGTGAATATTGATTTATTCATTTCACAGAAGCATGATTTTGTTTTACTAAAGAAATCAAGGTTCCAATTTTCTCCAAAGAGGAGTATTTTATGCAGTGCTGTACGTTATTGAATGCAGGTACGTAAAATAGAAAATATACTTGCATAATAGACAACGATAATATTCTCATACATATTTAGATATTAGAAAAATAAGGGGTATAATTCTCAGGTATTTCCAAGAAAGTCATACGATTCATATCCAGACTTATTTTTAGTTTAGATATTAGAAAAATAAAGGATATGATGCTCAGGTATTTCCAAGAAAGTCATACGATTCATATCCAGACTTGTTTTTAGATCCGGATTATTTATTTCTCTAAAAACCGGTTTTGTATACAGTGGCATCAAAAATTGTAGAACCAAAAAAAATTTTAGCACCTCCAAATTGCATCTGATACCAATTATTTCTATACTTTTCTGAAAGCTAAAAATCTACCGAACTTTAATAAAATATTTTTCAAATATTTTATTATTGCCAGTTTTATAAAATCGAGTGATCTACAATTAGCAAATTTTGACCTACTAAAAAAACATTATCCTCGAAGAATTCTAAATTTCAACTTCGTTGAGATATTTTTTTACTCTTTGAAATTTGGAACTTCGGGATTTCATAGAGTTTAATTAGTGGTCCAACTTAATACAATCTTTTTCAAATATTTTTTGAAAATTCTGTAGATTTTAGCTTTCAAACTCAATTTGGAGGTGCTAAAAATTTTTTCATAAAATTTCTTGTGGGTTCCATAAGTTTGGATGTATATTTATTAAGTTCGGTTATACAGTCAGGGCACGAGCCATCGCTAAAATGCTGAATCGAGAGAATACTAAAAGACATCACTAAATTGAGCATCTGGGAACAAGAGTACCAACTCGCGATTTCATTAAAACGCAGTCGTTAGATCGAACACTGCATGTATATAATAAGGGTATAAAACACACAAATTTCGTAAAATAGGACCCGAAAAAATTCCTTTTGCTTGAAAACTGCGTTTTGTTCCGATATTTAGAATACCTAAAAGTAAGTGCATGATTTGACTGAGATTTTGCTTATCATCGTCTAAAATTTTGTTATAAGCACTAAAACTACGTTCCACACTGCAAATTGAAATTAAAATATATTTTATGGCTACGTATTCATTAAGAAGTGGTAATCGATATGAAAATTTTGTTCCATAATTCATTTAACCTATTTAATCCAATTTGCTTAACGTCAACGTTAATATTGATTATGATTATGAATGCAATAATTGGATGTTGCTAACAATTTCGATTTGCTTGATCTCATCCAATAGCAATGAATAATTTAATAATGCGTCACTAGATCAAACTTTAAATCACATGGATAAATCAAAAAAATTCCTGGAATAATTAACACATTCTTCTTTGCTCTCATTCTCAATTTTTCTATCTTGCAATCATCAAAATGTCAGGAAATTATAGCAACGACAACTACATATATTATACGGATAACACTAATTTAACTTTGCTGAATAAAACACATCGCGGGCGAAAATCCAAATCAGAAACAGCAGCGGAAAATAACCTTAAAATAATCAGAAAACAGAAAATCGACGAAATATGCAAGTTTTTATTTGAACCAATGATAATAAGAAAGCGAACTCGTGAGGAGTGTTTGACGTTTGCTTCTGTCAAAGCTTTGATTGCGCGAAACAATGAAAAGACAGGATTGAATGATTTGGCTGAATGTGTTGTCAATAATGAGTGGGCTGATTTCACGTAAGATATATTTCTCATAATAGTTATTATTCGCAAAAAAAATTAACGGTAAATATGAATCTCTATTAACTTCAAAAATAATGGATTTTTCTAGTTGCTCATCAACAAGTCCAGCGATAACACTATACGTCAGTATGTGTAATTATTTACAAAAGACACCTGGAAATCAAATACTTGAAAAACATCGATTACAAAATCCTGGTGAACAACGTGGAATACGCTGGAAATTGAATGAAAAGAATTCGATTGTTCAAAAAGCATTAGATGAAATGAAAACATGGAAATATCCTCAAGTGATTATAAAGCAAAAAAATAACCAAATTCAAATATCCGAATACGCTGCAACGGCAAATCAATTCAAACCAAAACCAACAAAAGAAACAGTAGCAGGAGGTATTTTTATTACTCTTTTTTTTTATAAAAAGCGATTGTTTATTTATTGCAGATGCATTCAAAGCTGAACAAAAAATGAATCAGTATTCCCAGAGCAGTTTCGATACAATAACGATGATGATTTTGCTGATAACGCCAGTATGAATAACAATCGATTATCCAACTCAGGTAAATTCCCAAAATTGAGTTTCTGAAGGTTAGTTCATAAAAATTATTATCGTTATTGAATGTTTTCGTTAAAATCAAGGTGAATTTTTGTAAATTTTACCAGTTCTTCTTTACAATCAACAAATGGAAAAATCTAATAACACATTCAGCTGACGGTCAAAATTATTCAAATAATCGAGGTCTCTGAGACTCGTGTGTGTCCTTCAATTGTACTCGTACATAAATAGATACATTAAGTGGCTATTTTCGTCAAAATACCAGTTTACGTATTACATGTAATAAACTAACATTGGCTCATTAAATTTTATCATTCACAATGATTAATTATTTATCAGTATCAAAATCAAAATTATTATTTTGCTTTAAAATTTTCCGATATCAGAAAGTATTGTGGGAGAATATTACACTGAAGATTCCAACTAGACTACAACTTTACAGGCGCAGCATGCGGTCATAAGGCCGTTCCCACCCTATGCATCCGACTTACTCTCGAAGCAGCTACGGCGAACGGTAATGTCCTTCACCGCCATCTTCTGGAATCGTGATATAAATGCTGACCGTAACATCCACCGTTTGTTCACTCGAATGCCAAGAACAGTTTTGATGATCCAGAGGCTGAAACTTACCAAACATATGTTCTTACATACTTTGAGCGGCCAGGATCGTGACGGACCATCCCATCCGTTACTTCTTGATGATTATGATCTCTAAATCAGATATTATTATTGGTCGTAGTGTTATTGGTGTTGCTTTCTGGTCGTTTGGTTGATTATTACGATTACTTGTAAAAGTGCTATTGCCACTATTATTATTGTTGTTGTTGTTATTGTTATTGCTACAGTGTAATCTATTCATTATGAAGAGAAACTATACTAAATTTAGCGAAACTTCTACAAATCTTCAGCTTCCTATAATGGAAATAATAAATATGCGACTCACTTTAGGCCTGTCTAATATATCTATTAGACTGCCAGAGATAGCATGAGATTTGATAATGTGTTCTGTTATTTTATCTCTGGTGATTGTTGTCGGAGAACATTGTTCGCATTTACATGTACTGTATATGGATCTATGTGATTTTGTAGGAATTAGAACCCTAATTTTTTGTGTGATTGGAGATGATTTCTTTTGCTAAGTGGGCTAATATTTGTGTTATGCATAATTTTCATTATTATTGTGGTTATTACTATTTAAATTTGCTACAGGTAACTTAGCAAAGTATAGTTCCAGCTTTCTAATACAATGTGAATCACCTGATTTTCTTAGAAAAAAACAAGAATGTAACTAGTCACCAGAGCTGTCTGAAACTAAACTGGAATTAATATGTCTATTATTATTATTTTAGTTAGATTTTATTCTTTTACAAATATATTATATAAGATACATAATATAAAATTAGATGAAAGAAATATTATACATTATTAAAATTATTAATGAAAGTTAAAACTGTTTTCAAAGATAGATAACATGTGTTTATGTTGCTAGAATAAGCTCCAAAATCTTTGTTTCAACAAAAATGTTTTATATTTATAACTTACATAAATGGGCTAAGTGCAATAAAAATGATATAAATTGTATTATAAATTCTAATACAATTTATAACATTTCTATTACTCTTAGTTCAAATAGTTGATAGACTAGTAAAATATTAATAATTTAATTTATTAAATTAATCTAACATAATATTATAATTAAGCTAAAAATTATAAATAAATTAAATAAATAAATATAATATCACAATTAAAATAAGAAATTATAAACAAACTAAATAAATTAAATAAATATAATTTTATAATTAAGATAAGTAATCATTAACAAATTAAAATATAATTTAAACAAAACTAAATAAACTCAATAAATTAAAATAAAATAATAAAAGAAATTAAGTTAATATTGTTACTAATTCAATATATTATTATCAATTCGATATAAGAATACATGAATGAAAGATGTAGTTATGATAAAAATTAGTCATAATAATATTTAGATTATGTACTTAGTTCAATAACTTTTTATTTCTTTTTATTTTCTTTCTTATATTACTTATCTTTCTATATTTATTTCATTATTATCTTTATTTGAATATATTAATTACATAATTTTCTTGGCAAATTTATTATTTTTCATATTAGTTTAGCTTCTATTTTTTATTTTTGCTATTGGTACTTAAGTATAAAACAAAATTATTAATTATAATATAGTTAAATTTTATGTAATTTAAAAGAAAACCAGTAAGTTTGTAATATTAGTATTAAAGATGGTGCAGCAAGTATGTGACACTTATTTGTCACCTATTGCAACACATTGCAACTCCAAAATTTTATAAGCTGCAACTAGGTGATGCTTTATTTGTCATTATATTGCAACAGTTGCCGCGTCATCTTTAATTAGCATAGATCTATTATATTACATGTTGCACTATAACTGCATTATACTGTATCATACTGCATATTATTGTGTTATACTATATCATTATAATACAAAAATATGTATAAATACAAGTGCTAATAATTAATAAAAATCAAGTTCTCAAGTTCTAAAAAAAAGTTTGATTTAAATTTTTTAGTTTTGGTTTTAAGTTTTTTTGGTTTAATATCAAGTTTGTCATGTTAAATTAATTTTATTTTTGAAATTAAAAGTAGTTTTTGGTTTAGTTTAGTTTTATTATTAGTTTAGTTCTATTATTATCATTTTTATCTTGTTAAGAAATATTATTCTATTGTTATAAACATTATTTAGTTATAAAATTCAAAATAAATTATTATAAATACAATCATTATTGCCATTTTAAAATACTTTCATATACAAAAGCTCAAAATAATAATAATATTATATTATTTATTAATCTTTTGAATTAATAAATAACTTGATTGATTAATTTTAAGCTAAAATACATGTTTTTTTATAAATAATTAATAAAAATAAAACTAAAATACAATTTAAACAAAACTAAATAAAATTTAATAAATTAAATAAAATAAAATAATAAAAAAAATTAAATTAATATTATATTTGTTTATTAATTTTATTAAAGAGCTTTATTTTTGAATTAATAGAAAACTTAATTAATTAATTTCAAAATAAATATATATTTTTTTATAAATAATTAATGAATATTAAATTATAATTAAATTTTAAAATAAAATAATTATTTTTAATATAGTATATAATCTCTATAATCAAAATTTTTTTTACTGAAATTAAAAATAAAAAATTAATACTAATAAATTCTTAAAAAAAACTAAGTTAATTGCATATATTTTTATTAATTTTTTAATTGTATTAATTTTATATTAATTATTTTTTTACAATAAGTTTACATAACAAAATTTAAAAAAAATAATTATAAATCTTAAAGTAAGTTTATATAACAAAATTTAAAGAAAGTTAATTATAAATTTTAAAGTAAGTTTATATGACAAAATTTAAAGAGAATTAATTATAAATCTTAAATTATTATTAAAAATAAATTATAATACTTTATTAATAAAATAATTTTAAAGAATATTAATTTTATTTATTATTAATATTGTTACCATTTTGAGCTTTTGCGTATGAAAGTATTTCAAAATGACAATAGTGACTGTGTTCACAGCAATTTATTTTGAATATTATGATTAAATGGTGTTTATGATGATGAATAATGTTTCTTGACAAGATAAAAAGTGACGAAAATAAAATTAAACTAATAACAAAACTAAACTAAAAGGTGAATTTTAACCAAAAAGTACTTAAAATTCCAAAAACAAATTAATTTAACATGTCAAACTCGATATTAAACCAAAAAAAATTCAAAACCAAAACTTAAGAACTTAAATCTAGAACTGAAGAACTTAAATCGAACTAAGAAAACTTGAGAACTTGATTTTTATTAATTATCGGCACTTGTATTTATACATGTTTTCGTGTTATAGTGGCACAGTGTGACACAATATGGTGCAGTATGACGCAGCATGACGCAGTTGCAGCGCAGCATGTGGCACAGTAGATCTTCACTAATACTATGAAATTACTGGTTCTCTTCTAAATTACAC